AATAATAATAATAATATTTGAATGATCATTTTGCTTAGGACATTACTTATTGTCACTCTTAATAATAAATTTTATGTTTTAGGTTGATAGTATTGTAACAATATAATATATTTATTTTAAATTTTATTTTGTATTGATTAATGATTTTTTGAATTGATAACAATGTAACAAATTAATAAATTTATTTAAAAATTTAATTTGTATCATTATTTATTTTATAGCTTGATAACATTGAATTTATAACTATGTATCAAATGATTTATATATATTTTGAAATATTTAAATTTTTATAAATCAATAAATAAATATAATTATGTTGACCCAATTAACCTAACATAACTTAACCTATTCGTGATTGAGTTAGATTGGATTGAATTTTTAAAAAAAGTTATATAAATCTAACCCAATCCAATCTCTTAAATTTTAATTTAGTGAGATAACAGATTTATTTAATAACCCAACCCGCTTGTACCCCTACAATAAACCAGAGTATTTGATCTAAAAATCTACTATATAACCAATTGTGACGAAATTATCACCCCTGTTTGTAATTTAACTGATAAAAAATGAAACACCTAATCGGAATCTTAATTTAATTTGTTTCTATCTCTCTTCTTTTCATATATGTTTTAATTGAATAGCCCTAACCGCTCTCCTCTCTTCCCATCTTTGTAACAGGGTGTTTTGGGGTGTCTAATTTTTTTCCCCCTTCTATCTCGTGTATTCACGAATATTTTTGTTAGACAATTCCATCACTTTGTTTGCGTCATGTTTGAATAATGAAAAAAAAAATTGGTTGTCATGTTAATTAATTTTATGCATGTATTAAGCTGCGCTATTTTCAATATATTTTCGTTGTGATTTTTAATAAAAGAAAATTATATTCCTGTAAAAAAAATTATTAACTTTTAATCCTAATTCAATTATCAGATTCTGGCTAATGAAACTTAAGTAATAAAAATATATACATGAAACAAAATACAACAACAAAACTCTCATATTATGTGACATTGGTTACAAAGGTTATATAACACTTTCACAAACTCATTTTAATAATAAAATTCATTTTAAAGAAACGTGCTGACGTTAAATAGAGTAGTTTGAGTTTTATGTTATAAATAAACTCTTTAACATGGAGAAATTAATCAAAGTATATAAAAAAAAAACAGGATAAGTGAAAATAAATAATAGAAAAGCTAAAATTTAAAATTATATTAAAGTTTATTTTAAACTTAATAGTATATTTGAATGAAAAATTTTAAAAATTCAAGGAATTAAAATTTTTAGAATTTAAATTATTTTCATTTCAATTTTCATTATTTTTTAAATTCTTTGTTTAGATCAACCAATTCAAAATTTTTAAAATTTTAAATCTTTAATTTGGATATAGTAATTCAATTCTGATTATAGATAAAACTAAATTCTTAAGATTAGATAGTTTTATAAAATTAAATATTAACTAATTTTTATAGATGTTAATTCTATAAAACTAATAATTTTAAAATTTATTAGATAATATTTAATAATTTAAAAAATGATTTGAATATTCAATAATTTGAAAAATTATTGATATTTTTTATGTCGACTTTAAAAGAGAAGAGAGAGAGGTAGGAGAAAAAAGAGAAAGAAAAATTTTAAATTCTTATAATGTAAAATTATACATCTTTAAAATTTTAAATTATTTATAAATTTTTCATTTAAATAAGATATTTTATATTAAAATATTTAAAAAAACTTAAAAAAAATAAGTAATCCCATTAAAATCTTGGATGAAAAACACATTAAAAATATTTTGATGGCAATCTGTAATATTTTTCATTAAAAAGTGTCTATTCTTGTCTCTAAGCACGTGACTCCTGCATGTTATATATGATGCCACTTTGACTAAAGCAACAATAATTCATACGAAGTACGATTCAGACACAACACAAAACACACTTGCCAAAGAAGAGGGTTTAAATTAAAGTCCAAAAAACACTAGTTTGTGGAAGGACACGAGTGTGGTTTTTGAGCAGAAAGAAGGCGAAGCATGAAAAGCTAACATGGGACAGGTTTGAATGAAAAGTGCTTACTAGAACATTTGTCACTTAAACACCATTAGTTTTTCCGTCAAAATCCAACTCCTAAAAAACATGTTTATCTTTTTCCCTAAATCCCGGACGACCTTTAACATTAGCAAAAAAGTGTGTGCCACTTTTGGAGAATGTGCAGAATTCCCTTCTGACCATAAAAAGTTACATGCTAAAAACCATCTTAGACAAAATAAAATAAACAATAACAAGAGAGAGACATAGAGCTACCTTTCTTTATGGTCTTGTTTGGTCATTATTGAAGAAAAACATCTATTTTAGGGATGTCTAAAGCACCTTGTCAAAATGTACCCTTTGCCAACCCAACTTCAAAGTCACATCTTTTGAGACACACATTGACTAACCTTTATTCTTTCATAATCGTAAGTTCCAAAACCTTCCATACCAAGAATAATGGTTATGGAATTGTAACATGTACGTTCACTCCCTCTAGTTTTCCTTCTTCCTCTTTTGGAATCAACTTTTTTTCTCAATTACCACCAACTGTAATATTGTGTCTAGTTTTTCTTAATTAGACTGCTTTCTTTTTTTACCATGCACTCAGCTACTAGTACTCTTCCTAATGGAAGAAAACTAAGACAAGAAAAAAAACTCGATGCCCATCTTTTTGAATTTCATATGTGTTTTCCTTTTCATATTAATACTCATTAAATTGTCTTGGTACACGAGAGCACTATGATACCCTGATCAAAACAAGTAATATTTCATTTTTTTGGCCTTTCACCATGGGGCCCAAACGGAGCTAACATACTATCTTTCTGCCTCTTGGAATCTTTAGTGGAGGAGTCAAGGGTCTTGGATTCAAACTTCAATCAATTAAGGAACACAAAGGACTAATTAACCTTAAACAAATATAGTTGAGTCAGTGTGTGTGACATCTCTATCCTTTCATGAGCCAACATGCTATTAGTAGTTGGAAAATATTTTGGCACTAGGAAATATGCTGATAACAACAAGACGGCTTGACCCATTTGTATGATTAGCATTGTGCTATTTCCAATGATATATAGGCATGTGATTGCAGACTAATTAAAGGGAGTACTAAAATTACAAAATTTCCTTGTAGGAACTGTGAACTAATAAAAATGTGCCCCACTATGCTTTAGCCTTTGTGGGGCGGTTTAATCCAACTCAACTTGCAAGTGTCCTTTAAACTTTTCATTGCCCTTTTGACTGAACCCTTTTTATATTGGCTAATTTGGCTTTTGGAGATCAGAGATAGTAAAGGTGTTTAACCTAAAAGGCATTGTTTTTGTCATCTATTTAAATTTTATACCATTAGCCATTTTCTCCGCTACCCTTAAAACTCAGTGTACATTCACAAGGTCACCTTAGCCTACACCACTACCACAAAATTTGATTATTATCTTTATAATACACAATTGTATTTGTCCTTGAAATTAAGATCCAAAACACGAGCTAAATTAAATACTTTCAAAATAAACTATAATATGCAAAAAATGTGAAAACAGGGCAATGCAAGTTTCTAGAGCAGTAAAAGAAATCATATCTACACTTTTAAGAGGTTTAGTTTATCTGGCTGAGCCACATAATCATAACAGGGCACTAAGCTAAGACCATGGTCAACTGCTATGATCAGTTTGGCACAAATAAACTCTTGTACAAGAATTAAAAATTCTAAAACTCATTACCAAAAAAAATAGGGGAAATCTACTATTAATATGTGAAGCATATGCAGAACAAACAAAGTCAAGAGTTTGTCTTGTGGGCCCTTCAAAAGAGAACTTTTTATTTTTGTACTCAAGTGTGGGGTTGTTTCCATGACACAAGACAGGGAAGGCTCATACAATATAAAATTGTTGGATAATTTTGTGTGTAGTTAGAGATGATTTTAACTGCTCCCTTTGAAAATCATGAAGCAAACAAGAGCTTCCGATGTAATTGGTTGATTATTTTGCATAAAACGCGGATTCACATGTGCATAATACATGCATTATTTAGTGAATATCATGCTAAGATTAGTACCTCCAAATTCAAATGTTTGAGACTCTCTAGGAGTATGTAGACAAAACCACGCAGTTGTTTTCTTTTTCTGGTTTTGTCAGGGATTGATTCCAGCATAATAAGATTTCATTTACACCAATCATTTATTCATCAGGAAAGTTCTCCAAAAACAGCAGTATGTGTATAATGTATTATCTCAAAAAACAAAACTTATAGGTCAATATCTATCAAGCCTAGAGAAAAAACTGAGGTAGAAGTTTTGTTAGATTTCTTTGTCCATAAATTAAAAATAAAAAACAGTAATTTATAGGGCAAGCTTTTCTTTTTTGGTTCTTGTTTTCATTATTTTTTCCTAGTATTGGAAATAGTGCAATAGAGCTTACCAGGTCAATTCCAGGTAGTTAGTTGATTAGCTGGGCCTTTACACGTGAACTGATATGCATAGAGATTTAACTTTGTCAATCCTTATCAAATCCCAATACCTTGCAATTGCATGGACCTGATGTAATAATTACCTCACTAACTTTTACATTATTCAACACCAATGTAATTTGATTTTTCTATGTCTGTACTTATTATTACTAAGAAACAGAAAACACATTTTGGACTGTCATTGGAACTAGGAGGAAAGTGACTGTTGCAAGGAAATAAGATCTCAAAAGTGCAGTGTGTAGAGCCCCATTTAAAGTACTTGACAAGTGAAGGGAATCTTTATTTTCACTGTTTAGTTGTGAGCCTTAACTAAATGGGATGGAGAAGTAGAGGTTTAATAGAAATAAGAAAAAGAAAGATTTTTAAAAAGTAGGTGGAAAAGGGAGGATGGTCTCCAAAGAAAAAAGAATGACATCTGCAAAATGTCCTTTTTCTTCCTTCCATGATCCAAGTCACAGTCTTTAAAGACTCCCCAACACTTCTCCCATTCATCTCATCCTAAGCCTTCTGCAGTGTACTCTCTTCTGGCACACTATTTAACTCCCCATTTCCTCACCTCATTCCATTTCACTCCAAATTTTCTTTGCCATGTCAACCTCTAGAACCTCAGATACACCCTTCAAGGGATATGACCCCAATAACCAAACTCAAATGTGCCTCTCTCTCCTCCAACGCAACACATCACCTTGTGGTGAGAGAAGAGGCAGAAGGAAGCAAGCAGAGCCAGGGAGGTTCCTTGGAGTTAGGAGGCGCCCATGGGGCCGTTATGCTGCTGAAATCAGAGACCCCACAACCAAAGAGAGGCATTGGCTTGGCACATTTGACACTGCTCAAGAAGCAGCTCTTGCTTATGACAGAGCTGCTTTGTCCATGAAAGGAAGCCAAGCAAGGACCAACTTTGTTTACTCTGACAACATCAACTTCCACACTCTCCTTTCTCCTGTGGATGTTCAACTTCAAGTTCAAGTCCAACCCCTCTTGCCACCTTCACACTTTCTCACTAACACTAACACCACTCAGGCCAAACAACCAACCAACCACAATAGTCTCTCTCAGGTTACTCATGCTCCAAACTGTGGAAACCCCTCCCCAATGAACAATATTGAAACTACACATGGGTCAGCTCAGGATGATGATTTCTTCTTTTCCAGTGATTCTAACTCAGGCTATCTGGAATGCATAGTTCCTGATAATTGCTTCAGACCTAGTTCAAGCTCCAGAAAGAGCAATGTGAGTGATCAAAAGCTTAACACAAGCTCCATGGAGAGTACTCATGAGTATGAGTACCACTCACATGTTGACATGACCTCATTCTCTCAAGAAATGGCACCAAGGGAGTCAAACTATTCAGATTTTTATTATCCAAGTGAAGGATCATGGGATTGGAATAGTAGTGAACTTTCAGCAATATTTAAGAACCCATTAAGGGTTGAAGATGGGTGCATGGATGCATTTAATGATAGTCCAAGCTATGGGGTAATGAATCAGGGTGCTTCTTCAACTTCAACTAACTGTTCTCCATCACTTCCATCCTTTGGGGACGTAGACTTGGGATACCCACTCTTCTGAGTTTCAGACTGAGGTGCATTTATCAAGGAGTACCTTAGTACTTGCATTGCATTGCATGCACTTGTACGTTTTTTTTCTTTTTATTTTTCCTTGTAACTTGGGTCTAGCAAACCAAGCCTTTTGCCTCTTCTAATGTAATTACTAAATTGCACACATGATGGGGTGAGGTTTTGAGATGTTCAAAAAGCTCCACTACCCTTTCAAATCAATGGAAAGCCTTTCCTTTGATGCTCTGCCTAGTGCCTTGCCCCCCCTTCTGCTTATTTATTATTTACGCTTAATTATACTCTCTATATTTTACTTTTGGCGTGATTTTGATTCCCTTAAAATTATTTGTTCAAATTAAATTATTTACCTTCAAATTTTATCCAATAAATAACGTAAATGTAATATTAGTGCAACGTGTCATTGATTTTGTATAAATTAATAGAAAAAAACATATATACATTTCAATAGAAGTAAATATATATAAATTGATTTTTATTTTTAATTTAAATATTATATACATATATGTATATAAATTCATGATTTGGATTACTTCCGTTATATTTGTGTTCGTTTGTTATTATTGAATAAAAATTTGAGGTCGGTGACTTAATGTGCGAGGAATTGAAAATAAAAAGGTAAAATGATACTTGAGATGAGAATAAAATATAAAGATGAAAAGTACAAATAAACTTATTTATATGGATGCATATTGTTAGCATGATTTTATCCTTCTTTTCGGCTAGTTGCCTATACTTTTGGGTACAATAAAGGTAGTCATGGCACACGCATATCAATCAAACAGCATATAGGTTCACAGAAAGACATATTGTCAAGCCAATAACCCGCGATTCTAATCTATTGCTTGCAGTACATTCCCTTTTGCTGACTACTGATTGATTAGATAATGAGTTGTTTTTCCCTCTTCCTTTTCCTTTTCTTTATAACTTCCTATAAAACAATTTTAATTTTAATTTTCAGAAAAGTTCCACGCTTGAAGCAATATCATGGTTAGGTATAGGACAGCCAGGCGTTCAAATCTTATCAACCGCACTTTTTTCTGAAAAAAAAAATACATCAATAGGAAATAGTTACCACAAGTGACTTTAGCAAGATGTCCAATTTTTTGTCTTTAAGAAACAGAATTGATCAGGATTTAATTACTACAAAACTAAATTATACAGTATCGTCATGATAATCATAATCATATATATTTTAAAAATTCACGCATATATATAATGTTTAGTAGTAGATATTTATTTATATTTTTAAAAACATTTTGCACAGTAAAATTAAGTGAAAAAATATAAATGTCATCCTATCGCAATGCTAATTTCATCCACTCTAATAATAATTATCTTAAAATCACACCAAAACTTATTAATTGGTTTACAATATAAAACATTCGACAGTTTTGCATATCCATTAAAGAACAAAATAGTGTGATGAAACATTAATTAATTTTCTAGAGAATATACTTTTGTAAATTTGTCCTACTTTATCAGAATTTTAAATCTAATAGTTGAATTGATATATTTAAAAAAAAACCATTTTATAAAATTTCTTTTGTAAAGCTTTGTACTGAGTTTCAAATCACCCTGTCCTATAATATAAAGCCAAAAATCAGATTGGAAATTGACAGTACAATGTTGAATTGGAAAGGAAAAGGATAATGCTCCCTAGCTATTTAATGCAGTTATTTGGTGCAGTCCATTTGACAACGTTCTCATCAGAAAAATCGAACGATCCAATTATAGAATTACTAAGTATGATAGATAACTTCTAAATAGAAAAATAATACCTTAGTTTGATTCATCTCACAAAAAGCATGGAAAATGAAGTAACATAAATTTCAAAAACAATTAATAGACGAGACATGATTCCTAGTTCAGAGGCTTACCAAATAGCTTTTACCAACGGCATCAGTACTGTTAATTATAAATCGGTACACGGATCCGATCGTTGTGCGAAACAAGAAATTGTCACTACAAAATCCAGATCAGATCACTGAAACTAGGGTTTCGTGGAAACGAAGGGAAAATTTGGAAGGGTACAGTCACAAAATCCTTTTAGACAGCAAAACAAAGTCAGAAGAGACAAACTTTATATTTCATTTTTAAGGTTAATCTGTGATTTTTTTTTTGGTGCCACGTCAGTTTGGTTGGTCAGGTGCAATACGCCTGACCTTAACTTTGAAGTGGCTAAGAACACAAGTTACGCATGTACTTCCTTTATCTTCGGCTCTGATTTCCGCTGTATGTTCTATGTTGCATGCCACGCTGCGCTCTTCATCTTCAGGAGAGTGTATTCTATTTATACATAGAATCATCTTACAACAAACATATCCAAATATAAGGGGGGGGAGGGACAATGAAAAAAATCAAAAAAAGAAAATCCCCCAGAAAAATCACCCGATCACATGAAAGCTTGACCAAAGTACAATGACGAGAGAAGAAAACATTATTAAACATTCAAATTGTTAATTTAAATGTGTTTCTTCATATATGTATTCTGTAATAAATTTAAGTACCAAGTCAAGCATTTTACTTGTCACAACATCACCGTGTATCTCAAATCATAAAAATATAGCAATGTGAAGCCTCATTGTAGTCTCCTGATTACTTCTCCTCACGTCAAACCTTAGATAATTTTGGGAACGGTGGTGAACAGTACCTACCGGGCAGAAATAGATATTCCCAAATGCAAAAAAAGAAAGGGTTCAGGTGAAGAGAGATACACATAGTCAATGAAACTCCGAGCAGAAATTTTCTCATCAAAAAAGATTGAAGCATAAATAAGCACAACAAACTACGAAAATTGGAGATGTGGATGGACATGTGCATTATGGAGTTGCAGATTCTTTTGAAATTATTCAAAAGCAAGGTGCGTGTATGGGTTGCTAAAATTCTCAAGGTTGGCCATGGTTTATTCAAGATCAAAGGAATGGCCACAAAAAGATTATATGAACACAGAGACAATTGGTGCAATGTGTGCTAGACCTGAATGTGGAACTTGGATAATTGAAAAATAAAACCTATTTGAGAACCTCCTTGAGTAATGATGACCGGTTGAAAAATTTGAGATAAAAAGGAGTAATAATGAGGGGGTCATTCACATTGCTTAGCTTGAGGTGTGAGGAATAGTGTTACTTGCAGTAACACTGGTGGATGCAGAAGAACTAGAACTCTGAGTAGAACTCGGAGCAGATGGATGGGTGCTTGAGTGAGAAATGGGTCCAACGCTTGACAGGGTCAAGCCAACTGATCCAGTCGATGTGCTCATTGAAGACATTCTGGACGAAACAGTCTCCTTGCTGGATCCTGCACCAAGTTCGGGCCGTAACTCTGAGGACGAAGATGATGGGGCAAGAGTACCAACTGAGGAACCCACAGGATAGGGTGCAACTGGCATGTCAGCCAGGGAAGATGCAGATGGACTATAACTCAGTGATCCCATAGGGTGATCAAATTTGCATGCAGAACCAAACTTGCAAACTCCACGCTGAGTATAATGAGTGCAAAGTGGTGCCCCCTGATTAACAAACATGAACATTAAATACTTGACAATTAATAATTCATGAATGTAGTCAGAATTTAAAGAGAAAAAAAAAATCAACAGAATATAGACAAATTTATCATTTCAGTGACAGTTTTAAACAACCAAAGTCATATAATGAATAAAAATAAAGATACTTGCCTATTCTTCAACCACATTCCAAAGAGACAATAGCACTAAGAAGAGAGAAATAATAGCCAGAAAGATCATTAAAGACTAATTTATGAAGACAGGAAATGACCACATCAAACAATACGAAGAACTGTGCCATGAAACATCCACATCTGTTTTTAACATGCAAAATAGGAAGCACCCCTAATCCAAAATCACAGGAATGAAACACGAAATTTACTAATGAAAACAAAGTTTGAACAACTCAAGCTAGCACGGGAACATAGCTTTGAGAGGAAAAACAGATAACCGAGCATATGTACAGCTATGCACTAAACATAGAATCCTGGAGCACAAAATTCTTAGCACTGTCAAAGATTTCAGGCAAAATGCAACCAATGGCAACCAACTCCGTACAAACCAGGAAAGCAATACACTCATGGTTCTTGAGTCACCACTTCATATTGGAAAACCATTTCATAATGTAAATACATTTCAAGCATACAAAATGGTGACTAAAACAAAATAATAAGGACCAAAATAAAAAAGAGAAATTTTACAAGGACTATTTAAAATTATAAGGACCAAAACAACGATATACTACAGGGGCCAAAAATATATTTAAGCCTTTGAGAGTTCATTATAACACTATTCCCTGCCCTGTCAAAGAACATTTCCGTAGCAACAGGATTCAAAAAGGAGCTTACGAACTTGTCTTTGGGCATGGTCACAGTGATACACTATATTTTTCACAAAACCAACACCTAAAGAAAGGAACTGGAAGCACACTTATAATGAATGTAATACGAAAAGAGAATTCCACTCATAAAAGGTGGAACTAATAAACCAACAGGTATGTATAGCCCAACATGAATGCATAATACATGAAAACGGAAAGCCATCCCAAAAAATAGCTAGTATAAATAGGAAGCAATGGACAAGGAAAAAAATAAAAAGGGCTCGTTTTCAATGAAAAAACAAACTTCATATTAAAGCAGGGTTGCAATCCTACATAAAAAAATGCATGCATTATGTAACAAAATTAGGAAGGTAATTCTGTTATACCTAACAGTTAGCTATTTTAATCACTGGATACCAAAAATTTTGGTAGGAAAGGAGATATTTATCAAGTATATGTTAGTCACAAGTCAAAGCACCAACGAATAAAGGAGTTGAAAATACCGGACGCAAAGGAAGACCCACAGGACTAAGGATCACGCTGGCTTTTGGTGCACTCTTGTCTGGTGGATGATGATATCTACATGATGGACCAAATTTACACTCCCCTGTTTTCATGTAATAATGACATTCTGGTTGATCTGGCCTTTCTGGAAATGGATGCTCATTCTGACTAGCACCTGAAGGACCAATTGACGAACCAGAAGGCTGATAAGGTCCGGTGTAAGTAGCTGCCGATGAAGGTAGCTGGGTTATCCCATAAATCTGTGTTGAAACAACATTAGACGTGGTGCTAGATGGAAGTACAGGGTTTGTTGCAGGAGCCTGCACCAAGTGCTTAACAGCTTCAATGAATGTACATATAACTTGAGTAAGCACAAGCAATTCATATGAAATGGTGGACCTACCTGGTAAGGACCCCAGCCTGAAAAAGGGACCA